GATGTCTGGGGACCAGCGCGGGTACAATCTGTTGGTGGATCAAGATATTATATATCCTTCACCGACAACTGCTCCCGAAGGTGCAGCGTCGAATTTATGAAGAATAAAAATGAAGCGTCCACCAAAGTAAAACAGTATGCAATGTACCTAAAGAAGCGTTGGACAGACCAACCGAAAAGGTTCCGAGTTGACAATGGAACGGAATATATCAATAATGATCTAATAACATGGTGTAAAAATGAGGGGATAGAACTTCAGACGACAGCGCCTTACTCACCAGAGCAAAATGGCATGTCTGAAAGACAAAACAGAACGTTAGCGGAGCTCGCACGAGCAATGCTAATAGCAAAGGACTTACCGGAGTCTTTATGGGCGGAAGCGGTATCACATGCCGCATATATAAGAAATCACGCGCCTACGCGAGTGCTACAAGGCATGACACCAGAACAACTATGGAATGGTAAAAAACCGAATATAACTCACCTACAGGAGTTTGGTGCGCCAGTATATGTGCTCCAAGAGGGCACAAATCAATCGAAAATGAGCCCAAGATCTGTAAAACAAATCTTTGTTGGATTTGCGGATGGGCCAAGAGCAATTAAATATTATAATACACGGATGCACCAAATCCGCGTATCAAGGAACTATAAGTTCCTAAATAACATCGCGCAAGTACATGGTGTGCAGCGCGAGGGGGAGTTAGAAGGGAAAGATGCGCAGACATCACAAAATAGCGCTATATTACCTAAAGATGCCATAGAGGATCCTAAAGATCAAAATAAGCGTGAAGATCTGCAGGGAGAAGACAAAAACAACTCAACTCTAAAGAGGAAACGTCCCCTGACAGATTCAGATGAAATAGAACCACCTAGAAGAACAAAGAGACAGACGGTGAGACAGGATTATCGCCAATTAAATGACACAGAACCAGAATGGGCGTACCTTGCACATGAAAGACATGAGCTTGACGAAGAGCTCTATGAAGAGGAAGTAGTTCTAGCCAGCCTACATGGCAAACGGCAGCTTCGAACCACATGAGCCAAAGTCACTAAAGGACGTGCAAGTGTCAGATGAGTGGCCAAAGTGGGAAGAAGCGGTACGAACTGAACTCGCTCAATTAGAACAAATGGGTACATGGGAATTGGTTGACCCCCCAAAAGATCGCACCTTAGTAGGAAATAAATGGGTCCTAGTAAAGAAAACAAACAAAGAAGGGGAAATAATCAAATACAAGGCACGGTTGGTAGCCAAAGGGTACTCACAGATACCGGGCATGGATTTCACAGATACTTTTTCACCAGTCGTGCGTCTAGAAACGATACGTTCAGTAATGTCCACAGCCGCATCCCTCGATTGGGAAGTACAGCAGATGGACGTAAAAGGAGCATACCTAAACGGCGTACTCAAAGAAGAAGTATACATGAAACAGCCTGAAGGCTATGATGACAGAACTGGCCGAGTATGCCGATTAAAGAAGACCCTTTATGGCCTTAAACAATCGGGTAGAGAATGGAACCTTGAACTAAATGGACGCCTAACAAAAATCGGATTCAGACGACTAAAGTCGGATCCATGCACTTGCATCAGAGAATCCAAAAAAGGGACGGAAATAATAACCGTCTGGGTTGACGACCTGTTGCTATTCGCAGACCATTTGAGTCTGATGGATCAATTAAAAGAGCAACTAAAGAGTATACTCGATATTACTGACCTTGGAGAACCGAAAAAGATTGTTGGGATCGAAATAATGCGAGATAGACTGAACAGGTCGATTAAACTCTCGCAAACAAAATATATTGAATCGATCCTGCAAAAACAAGGTCTAGAGTCGAGTAATTCAGTAGGTATGCCATTAGATCCAAAAATTATGCTCGAAAAAGAAGCAACAGACCAGGAAGGCAACCGGAGTAATACTTATGCGTCACTGATCGGATCGCTGATGTATTTGGCCGTAGCGACGCGTCCAGATATCGCATACGCTATTCAAAGACTTAGCTCGTTTACTGCAAACCCAGGATTAGCGCATTGGGTAGCAGCAAAACGTGTATTAAGATACTTAGCTGGAATGCGAGAACTTGGAATCAAGTACCAAGGGACCAGAAAACCTGATAAAGGGCAAATTCAAGTCGTCAGATGGTTGGATGCAGATTATGCGAACGATCCTAGAGACCAACTATCGATATCAGGATATGTATTCAAACTGGGAGGAGGAGCAATTACCTGGAGTTCCAAAAAGCAAAACGCAGTATCCCTCTCATCGACAGAAGCGGAATACACTGCGATGGCACATGCAACATGTGAGGCCGTATGGCTTCGGAACCTCTTTGAGGAATTAAACATACCTCAGGATGCTCCAACCGTTCTCCATGGCGATAACATGTCCACATTGGCAATTGCTAGAGACCCACAATATCATTCAAGGTCCAAGCACTTTGATGTAAAAGATCATTATATCAGGCAGAAAATACAAGATGGAGTAATCCACGAACAGTATTGCTGCACCGATGATATGGTGGCAGATGTTCTGACAAAGTCGTTACATAAGCTGAAGCACTGCAAATTTGTCAGCGACTTAGGCATGACTTCAGGCTTGAGGGGGAGTGTTGAGAATAACAAGCCGAGCTCACCCTTAGTTGATAAGCCGAAGGTAGCGGAACTTTGGAGTGTCTGAGATCGTCGGAGAGTAAAGAGAATATATAGGACTTAGGAGATATCCAGAAATTAATTCGTTCTATTCTCTCCTATTGGCGTCTATCTATCAGCCTCTGAATCTAAAACTATACATGTCAACTATAAGTCTTATAGCCTGTGAAACGATACAGAGAAATGTATGAACCACAGCATTGTCTCCCAATGGGAAGAAGGCGGTCAGCGGGAGTGATGATGGTGGAGTCAGGTTGTGGGATATCGACACGGGCAAGCTCCACCACACCATTCCCAACACCGCAAACACCATGCGCAAACGCCCAGTGCACGTCAGCAACTGCTGACGTGGCTCAGACGAATGCGGATGACGAATGAGAGCAGGACTCAGGAGGGAAGAAGGCGAGGAGGAGAATGAGGGAGAGGAGATGGATGAGATGAGCAGGAAGGAAGACATCGAGTAATGTGCTCGAGTTCGAGTAGCATAGGGAGATATATTCAAGATTTTGACGAGCTTTTGATGCCTGAACATTGAACAAAGAGCTGCAATAGAATGTTAAGTCAAGATCAGGTGAACACATCACATGTTGGACGAATATCGAAGCCAGAGAATGTCGCGCGGGATGTCCGTGGAGTGGACCTGCAACTCAGTAAATAGTAAATAATGATTAGCGTGACATATATTAGACAGACATTGTTGTGTCATCAAAGTCGAGTCTTGAAGCGACCATTGTGCTCGACATCAGGAACCAATTTGTGCTCATTCTATTTTTACATAAACATTTCCAAAATACTCTCAAAGCCATGGCCTGAGCTGCCGGCTCCTGGCTTTTCAGAATCATGGGCCAGGCCAAAGCCCTGGTCAGGCCATGACTTTGGCCTGGCCTATATGGACCCAGCCTGGCCTGGCCCACGGCTTGAGGCCAGGCTGTGCACATCACTAGACAAGACATAGAAATGCAGACATGATACAATATGGCGCCCTACATATCATGCTAAATGTCCCAGACTGTTCAATGGAGGAAAAATCATGAAGTAGAAACCAAAGGATGGGGATAAAAAAGCGTGATGTGCCTCGAAAATTCAGTCCGAATGTAGTCCAGGGTATCAGTGTGTGTAGAGACAGTGGCTAGCTCGCTGTTGTCGTCGTCGATGACTGTACTGAAAATGCCGCCGCTTCCCACCCACTCCTTGATAAATTGGCCCTTGAGGGAAATGCTAGAATCCCAGAAGGACCATTTCCTGCCTGGGAAGTCGGGATAGGTAGCAATGAATGCATACCAGAACACTTCCCAGCCCCAAGCCCATTCAGGTGTACTCGGATCCACAGATTTCACGAGCCATGATTGGATGTTGTCCAATAGTTCCGCCCAGTGGTCAGAATCCGTGTGGTCGAATGTTGGCAGAAGTGGAAGGAAAGGAAATGACACGTCGTTATCAGTTACAGAGTAAGATTGACTGAAAGTCGCAGACTACAGATACACACTGTCAGTCTTGTTGCAAGAGTTTGGTGCAGATACATACATTATTTGAGGGATGAGGCTGCTGAGATGCTATCTCAATTACCGGTACCGTGAATGATTTGTATTCGTCTTTCAAAGACACAGACATTTCAATAGGCTATAGAACATCTGTCAGTAAAGGTAGCCATTATTCAAGAAAATCAGATCACATACAATATTCGAATGAGCGAGGTGACAAGGTACTGCACCTGAAAACCATACCAAGAGTGACAACGGCTGTAGAATGACATCTTTTGATTCAGCGAGTCGCATATCTGGATAGAAGATTGAGCTTGAAAATTGATGAGGTTGAAGAATTGACATGATGCCTCCAGGCCTCAGCACTGTTGATGGGACTTAAGCGCTCTCAAGCTGACCGTTTGGACTTTGCCAAAATTCGCCCAAGAAATCACGTGATCCAAAACAGTCACCTTCAGAATCGCAAGTCTATTATTATCGCACTCCAATCACTCGACAAAAGGTTCCATGTCTGCCGCACTGTGGTCTGTTGACGGTATAAGTAAGTTTTGTGCTCAACGTGAATAGCGTTTACTGATGTTTAATGCAGTCTTGCAGTTTTGCGGAGCATCTCAGGTTGTTTGCAACGTGTGTCCGAAGCGTGATAATACTCTGCGCACCATGCATTCCAAGCATGTACTGAAGCATGTTGCCACTGGCCTACATCAGCATCATGCCAGGGCCTGGACATCAATGGGCTTGAAGGCTCTTTCCCAGCAGCAACAATGAAGGCAGCGGTGCCATCATGAAGCAGAACATTTACCTTCACCTGCTGACGGTGACTCAGATTTTACTTCTAGCGCCATGGACGTCGACAATGCTGTCCATATCCTGGATACACATGGACCAGACCACAAAGTAGTACCAGTCGCTGATCTCTGGGATGCAATCTCAAGCAGTCCTTTCTACCAAGTCAACGAGACATGTGATTTGTACGAGGAGTTGCAGTCTGCCCTTGCTTTGGGGGAGCAATTATTTTCCATGCTGCTCGCCCCAGCGAGTGAAGAGATCGGCTTTGATGATGAGATGGAATCAGACTTTGGGATTGAACTTTTAGGTGAGACACTGTTTCATTCCGTGCAGGAGGCTTATTTACATCATTAGATGATTGTACATTGACCGCCTCGCATGATACAAATCTGAACTGTCCAGTTTCGCCTGACAATCCAAATTATCCCTGGCCATCAAAAGCTGTATGTTTCAACATCTTTGTGCATTTTCACTGCTAACCTATCATTTAAGCACTATATTACCGCATTACTATTTAGTTCTCCAAGGCTGCCATTCTCTGAGGCGCAGAAAAAGGCGGTTCTATCTTGGGCAAAGGAACTTGGTGCCCATGATGTTCCCTCGCTATACGCATTGAATCGGCTCCAGGAATCTGTTCAAACGCTTGTCGGCAATCCAACGGAAAAGATAACTGCACGTTCGGGCAATATATTTTATCTCAATGATGTTGGAAAAGCCATCGCCAAGGTACGCAGTTACAACATGATCTCATCTCTCAACACTGACATTGAATGTTCTCATTTAGGACTATGCAAACCCCCTCACACATTTTGTGATGCAGGATTACCCTGAAGATGGCGGCAAGGGAATGTCGCAGGTGTTCAATGGAGAGAAAATGCTGTTTGAACTCCCTTCGCCCCCTGCAGCAAAAGTTGATGGAGAGATTTACTTCGTGAATGAGCTCTTGCAGGATGCGTCGGGAGACTACTTTATACCTGAGCGCTTCTTTTTTGCATTGTACTCGTCGACGAATGATGGTGCGGACAAGCAGCTACATGCACTTGGCCGCGCTGTACAACAAACAGAGGTGAGTCCGTTCTTTGCATACTTTCACTTTTACTGATAGACTTAGGATGGGTTTATTGTCAGTGACGAGCAGGAGATGATTCCAACATCTAACTTTCAAAGGTCTTTCAGGGAAATATCTGCCAATGACAACGAACTCGCTTGTGGGCTGATGGAGTCATCACACAAGTATGCGAAACTCATGCCGAATCCTTTGCGCATGAAATCCCAAGGACATATGGTGTATTTGGTCCCTCTCATAATCTTCATGGACAACGTATCCGGCAATATATCCAAGCAATGGAACAAGCACCATGCAGTGTACATGTTGAACGTGAATCTACCTCGCGAAATGCTCGAGAAAGAGTTTTGCATTTGATTCGTCACATCGTCTCCTCACGCAGCCCCAATGGAGATGATGAGCACCATGCAAGAATCAATTAGGTACGTGATACTTATAATGTGCTATAGCGAAACATGATGCTGGTGATCATAGGAAAGCTGCGGAATCTGGAGTCTTCACTTGGGACTGCAAGCACAAAGAAGAAGTTATGCTGGAGCTATATGGTCTGTTTCTCAGTGGCGACAATCCCATGCAGGCCGAGGAATGTAGCCATGCAGGGCTGCATTGCAACTACTTCTGCAGGACGTGTGAAGTTGGCAGAACAAAAGAGTACAAAGAGTCAGATGAGGGCTACAAGAGTATCTTCGTGGTATGTAGCATATTCTTGTCCTGCTTGTCACCATGTTGACTGACTGTCCGAGTAGCCAGGAAAACTTCGCACTCCTGCAGGAATGGCAGAAGAGATTCGCGCACAGTTTTCTTCTGTGCTTGCTTCGGGTGCGACAGAAAAGATTAAGAAATCTGTCGCTTCATCAGGCATGAAGGACACAATAACTGGTTACATTCTCGAGACAGTCGTTGAGCTGGGGAAGAAATTTTGCAAACAGGGTACTGGCATTCAGGCAAAGCCAGAGGCTGAAGTCAAGGCTATCCTAGAGAAGCAACTTGAAGGCCTCCTGCGAGGGAGCGCTCTTGATGATGCCATCAATCTGTTACTGGGTGTGGAAGGTAACATTTATGTCCTTGTTTTCAGCTTTACATTGACCTTTCGTCAGGATTCAATGTTCATCAGGACACGCCAACAGAAATTCTACATATGGTTCTACTGGGAGTCGTCAAGTACTTTTGGGGTCAATCTGTTTATCTTCTCGAGAAGGCAAAGCTTTTGGACATTTTTCAAATGCGTCTCGACTCTATCGAGAAGGCCGGGCTCAATGCTCCATGTCTCAACACTGAGTATATCTGTCATTATAAGGGTGGGCTCATAGGGAAACACTTCAAAAGTTTGGCGCAAGTCATGCCCTTTCTCATTCAAGACTTACTGCCGAGAACGGTACTTGATGGCTGGATGTGTATTGGTGAGCTCATTGTGTATGTTTGGCACACAGATAGATGATATAGAGATATACTTGGTATGATCGCGCTCTGACACTGCCGCACCAATGCTGATTGAATCATAGACGAAGCTTTCCCAGACAATTGAGGATTTCCTCAATGTCACAGCAAAATGCGCACCAAGCATTCTCATCTTGAAGCCGAAATTCCACTTTTTGGTCCATCTTCCCGCATACATTCGACACTGTGGACCAGCCATTCTCTTTTCCACTGAATGATACGAGTTGTTCAATCATGTGTTCCGGCTGGCATGTATACATAGCAATCGACAAGGTCCAAGCCAGGATACATGCAAAGTATTTGCGAGGCAAGATATCATCAAACATATCGCGACTGGCGGTTACTGGTTTGATAGTGTTAGGAAAAAGTGGATTCGGGCAGGTGACACAGTTTTGAACTACCTTGACAAGCATCCAGAGCAAGCACAGCTTTTAGGAATTCATATACGAGAACCTCCTGTGACAGGTAATGTGTTCATTGAATACTGAGCATCGTGGATTGTAACGTCTATTACTCAAGGAACCGGTCAACTCAAGAAAGTAACTATCAACGATGGATGGCCTGCGGCAGCAAAACCTGTGATGTGGACAGCAACGCGCTGTGCCACGCTCGAGCTCTCACAACCTGTCTGTAATGCTCAATACCGCGAAGGCGTCTCGTTGATTCTTGGCAATGGTGAGAAAGCATCCTTAGAAGGCCATATCATTTTCAATGACCCTTCAACATCCCACACAGCCATTGGGCGCATTCACGAGATCCTGATTTCGAACTCTAACAAAGCCGTGAACCATGTCACCATTCAGAAATTTGCTTTTGGACCTGTTTTGCATCCTTCGCTTCACCTCCCCACTCTCAAGCTCACAGAACATGAGGTTGTTATTAGCCCACAAGTAAGTTTGAACACGATCCTTCAATCGAGCTTATTGACATGCTCACATGGTGAATCTAGGAAATTGTTTGTATAGTAAACATCCAGCATAACTGTGTCAAATCACAGTGCACAGACACCAGTCAATGTCGCCTTCATCAAGAGTGAACCGAGACCACACGTACGAAGTCCGTCATTCAGCACAAATCCTTGCTGTTCTACTTGCTCAATGCTTACTCGATTCACAACTATGCCCAAATTCGATCTGTCATTCCTCCGTCACTTCGTGAGACATCATTGAGGGTCGATAATGCAGCAGAGGTTCATTTAGCGGCAGCTCGTCAAATCCGGGAGAAGAAAGCAGCCAAGAAATCAGGCAAAACACCAGATACTGAGCTTTCGAGCACATTGTGTGATGTCATAGCTGATGTTCCTGCAGTATTTGACCGTCCAGCAGCAAAACAAACCAAGAAGACGCAGAAAGCAAAAGAGAAGGCACCTCCACTGCAGCTGGGTCCACGACAACCCACAATCACACAGGCAGCCGCGTCTTTGAGTTCTCATCTCCCAGCACCCATGCCTTCTCATCTCCCATCACTACATGTTTGCATGCTTATCTTTAAAGTTCTTCCTCCAGCGTTCTTCAACAGGTTTGCATGCTTGTCTTTGAAATTTTTCCTCCAGCATTCTTCGATAGGTTTGCATGTTTATCTTTGAAGTTCTTCCTCCAGCGTTCTTCAACAGGTTCGTGTGTTTGTCTTTAAAATTCTTCCTACTTTGTCACACCTTACATTACAATATATCAATACCAGTATCTTCCAGTCTGCCCAGAGGACAGAGGCCTGAATTTTCATAGACACTCCAACATCATCCAAATAAACTTAAATTTTCATTTTCTGGATGTCAACTTTCGGAGTGTTACGGATTCTATTTATAATATCAAACTTCAAGCAAGGGCAGCCGCTGTGGCCTTTGGCATTTGCGACAATGTTCCAACGTGGTTATCATCTGCACATACCTTCTGGCGGCAACCAACGCTCAAGATCACCTTCATGAGCAGAGCAATTGCCGAGGCCACAGTTGAACCCAGGAACTTCGGGGGCAAGATCCATAGGAAGGAGTACTACACCTGACCCTGGCAGTGGAAGCTCATCCAACTATCTGTCTGCTGGAGGGCATGGAAGTAGGTCCTCATATATAAGATCTAATTTGACTTGCTAATGTACTTCATACTGTACAGATACTTCCCATTCCCCGAACCATCAATCTACAACTCCAAGCGGTGATGGCCCAGCAGTACCTGGCCTTGAAGTCCAGCCCCCCTCTAGTCCAACGTCATCGTTGGATGAGCCAATCAGCACCACAGTTCGTCGATGCAGGAATAGTGGAACTTCCAACCATGGGGATCCTACGAAGCTTACACCCCAATGAATGAAACACTTGAAGATGTATGCCAAGAAGATGTGCGAAGACAATGATGTCCCTACCGGAGATGTCATGTGTTTCATCGATGTAAGAAAATTTTGTCAAACCATTGGCATTGTTGTGTTGGCTGACTCTGGCTTGATGCAGTCTGGCGACATCTTCTTTATGCTCATAGACCTGAAAATTACTCTTATCAAACTTTGCAAGGTAAATAGGGCGAAGAGAATGCAGGAATTGAAGGATGCCTTAGAATTGAAGGACTTCGAGGTGACAATGGTACTTTTCATTCTGTGTTATTCTAGACTAACTTGAACAGGAAGAATGGGCTATATAACCGTTTATTTGCATGTATGCTGTCGCCAAATATCACAGCATACGTTACTAATACTCAGCATCATATAATGGTATGGCTTCGAAGTCTATTGTTCAGCGCCACTAAATTGTTTCAGGACTTCATTACCACTCATTCCGATGTCTTCAAAATCCCTCCTGGAATGCTTGAGGATGTCAAACTCAGAGCTCAGTTGGGCAAATCGGTCACAAAGCTACTTACAGGCATTCGGAGTGTCATCAAGAATGCCGTATGTCTCGCTACTTTGTTGATGTACTCTCACTTATGATCATTGCTGTGTAGCTCACCACGTCAGTTGTCAAGCGCATGAGCATCGCTGATGTGACAAGGGCACTTGCACACAGCGGGTCTGGTATGGAAGTTGACTCTACACATTGGAACAGGATCGCACTCCTTATAAGTGATATTACATACATATCTATTAGCATTAACACTCGTTTGTATGGGGACAGTGGCGTCTTCTGTGAATTTTTCTCATTGGAGTCAGCGACTACAAAAATGCTTCCATCGACGATTTATTTTCCCCTTACCTTTTTCCGTCGCTTAAGCAGGATATGCGGCACAAAGTTGAACATGAACTTGGTGTCAACATTGCACAGCTTGAAGATGACTTGTTTGGCACTAACAATGCGCTTGGGTCTAACGATCAGGCCTCCCCAGACACTCCAACAGGTAATGGTCATGCACCCAGTGCTAGGAGGATTGAGGATGGTGCCAACATGGACAATGAAGAGCTCAAGGACCAAAGTGGAGTGCAGCTGGGTGGTGGGGATGCTAATGGAGAGGAAGAGGAATTGAATGGACTTGGGAACAGTGTCGAAACTACCACAGTCTTACTAGATGATCCAATGGACTCCAGATTTGGACTAGTTGAAGGTACTCCAGCATGGTACACCAATACCATCAGATTCTGGAACTTTGTCAACCACTCGCTCTTAGTCATGCGCCAAATATCTAAGGAAGCCTCCTCGATTCCCACCAAGCAAGAGAAGGAGTTGCAGAAGTGCATTTTTGTTGGCTCATGCAGTTATTGACACTGATGTTTGGCTAGGTTGTTCATTGAAATATTCCAAGCTGATCTCACCGAGTTTCCTGGTGGCAAGAAGGTCTTGAAGTTAATTTCGAGGACGAATCCTTGTTGGCAGACTGCTATTCAGACCAAGCTTATTTGGACCACCTAATATTTCCATTCATTTTCACCGCTCCTGCACTGCCGCATCCCTCATTTTAATCATACCTGTCATTTAGCTGCCCCTGCACTGCATTCCTCATTTTAATCATACCTGTCATCATTTGGTACAAGAATAATACGTGCTTTCTATGATCTCTCGATGGCGCAAATATCAGTGCAAAAATATTCAGGTAGTACTGCTACAGCATGTTGATGGGTGTGCACTCTACATATGCTCAAGTGTCATATGTATGCCAGAATTATATAGCTTGTACATCAGCCAACCAGTATACTACCAATACCTAGGTCTCAGTATAGGATCTATGTTTTCAACCAAGTATAATTTCGGTGCTCAATCTCAGTACATAATGCGCACCCGAAAACAGCCAATGGACCTATACCCTACCAGCATCGCATTCACACTCTGGCGTCACCGACGTTATGTCAGCCTATGAATCCATCAAAATTGTATTATTTAATTATATATAATACATGCGACAAAAGTTGATGCATGGAGATCAGGTCAACATAGGACCGATAACCCTATTTTTGGACATAAATGCTATGAATTTTCCGATTGGCCGTGTATGGGAGAAAGTATGGGACATCAGCACCTCCGAGCGGAATTTAAACCCCATTCACGACCATGTCAATCAATCCCGCCAACGTGCCTACCGCCGCCACCTAACATCTCACTGGAATATTAATGCTGCATGTTCATGCTTCGCTTCAACTCTGCCCGCCACTCTCCTTGCTCACCCATCTCCTTACCCATCCCTCTCCCTGCCCTCTCCTTTTTGAAACATTCATACTCCACTTGAAGGTGCTGATGTTAAGGACTGAATCAATATATGGCATAGCAATGAGCTCGCTCTGTTGCTGTATGGCAGCAAAAATACTCGCAACGACCATGGAAGTAAGTCCTTAGCGCTATTATAGACATTAAGGAAGCGTGAGGAACAGTGACGGAAGTCGGTCCTTGGCGCTGTTGCAGACAGTGAGCAAGTGTGAGAAACAGTGACGGATACAGAATCATTCATACTCCGCTTGGAGGTGCCAATGGGCTTGCCGATGTCCCAGACTTTGTCCCATACCAATCACCATACTTTGTCCCAGACCGGCCATTTCAGAGATGCCCTCCAAAATACCGTGCTGCGACCGTGAGTTTCCTCGTTCGAAACGTTTCTTCTTGGTCTCGACCCATGATGCAAGTGGTTCGCAATTCTTTGCTGAAATATCACTTGTCCCAAACCCTTGACGGGTTGTGAAGCGAGTTTCCATTTCTTCTGCTCTCCAGACACTAACTCTTGGAACAGTTGTCTCATTTCAACATTTGACTGCAGGGGACGAATGCTAATGTATAATTGTGGGTATTTAGACAAGAGCGAACTGCAGTAATATGCAAGGTACATGCCAATGTCCACGGGTATGAAGTCTACATGTAAATAATATGGGGGGTAGGTACAGATCTCAAATCCTCAAGGCTATTACTAGTGACTCGACTAACACAACTCCCACATTTTCATGGAATCCCTGCGACATATCTCAATATTGGTCAGTGTTGGGATCCGACGAATCCGAAGGAGAGAAGGCCGAAGGGACAAGAACCGAGGGAGAGATGCAGCAACCGGCCGAAGGATAGAGCCGGAGGAGAGGACGTTGAGTGCGAGCGCATCCAAACGGAGAATGGGAACGACGTGTCATGGTCAGCTCGTGCGCTGTCCATCTTTTAGTTTATTTTACCATATGACTGTACCTGGGACACTCACCTTATAAGCCCAGGTTCCTGCATCCAAGCATCTCAGTTTCAACTCGAATACTGAGATGTAAGTTAGCATTTTCGTAATGTTCGACTGGAAGTCTAACGTTCTAGTAGATTCGTACCTTTTTGCCTAGGTACAATGTTTGTCAATAGAGTTTCAACTCGAATACTGAGATATTTGTACCTTTTGGTCTAGCTCCAGGTGACCGTCTCACTATACGTTACAAGAGTCAGAAGATGAATGACACATTGAGGTGACAAATGACTTACACAATCAATGAACTACTCTGACACAAGCTCGGCAACCCGGGGACATGGCCTATTGGCATGACTTGATATATGCGACAACTTATCGCTCTGGCAGGTACATACTTATCTTAGATATCCCATACTGAACCTAGTGTCGGCTGTCTGCCAACCAATAGCTGAATGTCAGACCCTAGATCAAAATCGCTATCATCAATGGCGGCCGTGTTTCCCGCATCGCTATCATCAATGGCATTTCCCGCATTGTCATCGCCATAAGCTCACCGTAAGTTCCAAACTTCTATCTGAGAAGCAATTGCAAAGGGTCTTTTGCTGATGATGATCCTAATATTTTGTAGCAAAAAGGACATATATTCCTCCTGCTTTTTTGCATCGCAAATCCCACGCAAACTTCATCTGTCCCTTCCGAACAAAATCTTCCTATCCAGCAAAGAGATATGCACAGTTCGGCATGCTAACCTAACCGTTCTCGAAACTTTACAGATGCTTATGTGAGTTCTTTGTACAGGTGCCGAGACGCAGCCTGCGGAATTTCCCGGCACCACACTTCCAGCTGAGCGTTACTTAGCGTATACGTAATCTTCCTTCATTCGTTTTTCGACCTACCTACGACGTCGAGCTACACATTCTTCATCCTCTCGCTCGTTATCCTTATCGTTTCTTGATCTCACCCACCACTCCCTCTTAATTAGACTTTGAATCGTGACCGCTTCATATTCCGATACTATCATAATCGTTAGAATTGTATAAAGACGCTTGTTTCGAATGCACCACACAAGAATTAGAGCACGACCGAATTCATAAGCAGGTTTCCCGCCCACCCAGCGGCTCCACCTGCTTGCGTCCCTCCCCGAGCTAACGCTCGGACCAGCCCAACACAAACAGGTCGTGCCCCCGACTCTTACTGAGCCAGACAAAGCTGGACTCACAAGCAGAGCCGGCTGAATTTTACGTTAACCAACCAACCAGAAGAAGATTAGGCTTGAGGAACTTGTTGAACCACCTGCTCAATTGAGGTTGAATTATGCTGTACTAATCTAATCTATCTGCCCCTCGAATAACACACAAATAACTTAGGTTTGATATCAAGGTCGACGTTGACCACAGGGCCACCGACTCGGAATTCGATCTGATGCATGCCTCGGACGGCAGTCGCCTTATCTGACTCAGGCTAGTGAAAGGGTCGAAGTCAAAAAAGTCCAGCAAATTATCGCGAGCTACCTCGGTTCCGTTCACAGCACGCAAGTATCAACTTTTACTGATCTACGATTCCGTATATGTCTGAAAACAGCTGTAAGCTGTTCCATTGCTCACGTAGGCGTATAAAATGAGTACGGCTGGTTGATGTGGTCCTCCACTCCAGTTCTCTCCCCCTTGCACACTTGTTACAAATGCCCTCCAAGGCAAGATCATTGCTCGAGCTCACCAGGCTTCACTGGTTTCCAGTGGGGTGTGACTTCATGTTCTGGCCCTTCGGTGAGTCAAAAGATGCATGGGGGACACTGCTCGTCGGCTGATTTTATTGTACCTAGCGTGGGGCTCGCTGGCGGCATCATATCATGTAGCATTACCCATGAATGAAGTCGTCAAGAACACTTTGTTCTATGCGCTGTTAGGCACGCTGGTACATAGTGCAGGCTGCGTCATAAATGACATGCTTGATCGCGAGTTCGATCGCAAAGTCGGTATGTCGATTCCGTTCTGATCGTCGCCAATTGCCTGATAACGTTCAATCAGAACGTTCAAAAAACCGACCGATCGCGTCAGGAGCTGTCACTATGCTAGAGGCCTCGGTTCTTCTGACCGTGCTCGTTGCTGCCATCTTTTACATGTTCTCAACTGCTGGCCCTACAGCGTGAGTACATTACCCAGAAAGTATCAAGACTTCTCTCACAAGCTAGTTTAGTTTGTTGCTCGGTCTTGTTGGACTCCCAGCTTGTGGCGGGACGTATCCTCTAATGAAACGCTAGATGTATTAGCCGTCTTTGTACCTTGGTATGACTTTCTTGCAATTAAAATTCGTGCACCGTCTTATTTAATTCCCAGGTTTTGCTGCTAGCTGGGCCGTCCCATTCACGTGGGTGGCAATCACGGGTGAGTTTGATTGGGGAATAATACTGAATGTCGGAGTCGCGTCGTGCTGGTAAGTGTGCCAGAAAACTATTTATTTCTCCGAGGTGCTGACGGTGCCTCCCTAGCTGGACGTGTCTTTACGACACTATCTACGCGTGTCAGGTGACTATCCCGTTAGGTTCTACACTGAAACGTCGATGTTAATTATGTTATATCAGGACAAGAAGGACGACGAAAAGGCTGGAGTCAAGTCCATGGCAGTCCGTCTGGGCGATGGCATTCGTCCTGCATTGAGCCTATTTGATGTGACATTCTTTGCGTATCTTCTATGGGCTGGGTATTTGAATGGCCAGCACCTACCGTTCTACGTGATGAGTGTCATTATGCCCTTCCTCCTCTGTCTGTGACACATATGGTCATTTGATCACAATGATCCCCAAGACAGCTGGAATAAATTTACGGTATGTTGAAGTGATATAACCACGAGCTGATTCTGATATCCTATTGTTGTACTACAGGCAGGTCGCCACGGCGCAGCGTTGGTGTGCGCAGGATTGGTCGTGGACCATTACTGTAATCTTGTGTCCCTGGCCATTTGAGCATGTACTTTTATCTCAGGCTGGATTCGAGGTGACGCCTTCAACCATCCTGTTGATGTACTTACCACAGCCTTGCAATTGCCTGTTTTCATCCTGGAGTATCGCTTTTGTTGTCTAATATACAAAGATGAGTGACGCAGAGATCGGCATACTTACGACAGTCTTTCGCTTTCATTTTTCTTTATCCTGGAGTACTGTTTTTCGATGTACAACCTATTAGACGAATGATGATGCAGGCATCGGAAATAAGTGTGATAATCACATACAGAAGGCAGGCTTGTATCAACACTACTACTCACACTTCCTGTATGACTGCAGAAAGACCCCTTGTAACATAGTCAGACCGCCGCCCGCGCGTAACCGTTACACCAAAAGGTGAAATACTGAAAGCTTAGCTTTCAGCATCAGCGACGGTATATGTACTGACTATGAGAACTCAGGTAAGCCAGCGTGCTTACACCCCTGCGTGGTAGTAGGGAAAGAGGAAGTACTTACTACAACTTGTGTGGTACGAGGGGTCGAAGTATCCAATTCAAACATCATACAGCAACTATCCATCAATACCCCTACCAACTTCTGTGGCTGCCACTGCCACTGCTGCTGACAGAGTCACTCATCAGTAAAACCTTACTGGCGTGCCTTTCTAGATACCACTGGCACATCCGCATGCATCCCCCCTGACTTCAGCACACAGCCTTGATGATTTGCATTCAGCTCTCTCCGTACATAACGTAGCTAATAGATTCACAGACTCCGTGTTAAAGTCTGGGGGACAAGTTGGTTGTCCGGAAAGTGCCACTGGGAAGTCTGCCGTATTTTGTCATATCTTGGGGTCAGGCTCCTGCCCAACCGTCAGCTCTCCTGCCATCCCCCCTGTCAGTCTCTCGCACCATTTCACGTCGCCCGCCGTGCCCACTGACGTAGATGACGGGAGTGGCTGACATAGACAGGTCACAGCGGGGGGCGGCTGATGTAAGAACAGACGACCAAACATGTCCCAGAATTTGGCGCGGAGTCTGCGCAGACTTATGTAACACATACCGGCTACATGGTAGTTAGCCAATGAAAATCGTTTATCGTTTGTCATATTATCGGACTTCAAAAATGAGTCGCGGCAAATCGAACAGTCGGCTTCTTGTTCTCGACCTGTGATGCAAGTGGTTCGCAATTCTTTGCTGAAATATCACTCGTCCCAAACCCTTAACTTGAACGAGTTGTGAAGCGAGTTGCCGTTTCTTCTGTTATCCAGACGCTAACTCTTGGAACAGTTGTCTTTCGACTTTTGACTGAGGGAGATAAATGATAACGTATAATTGATGGGTATTTAGACAAGAAGAACAAAGTGCAGTAATATGCAAGGTACATGTCGATGTCCACAGGTATAAAGTCTACATGTAAATAATATGAAGGGGTGGGTACAGATCTCAAATCCTCAATGGCTCGACTAACACAACTCCCACATTTTCACGGAATCCCTGCGACATATCTCAATGTCAGAAGACGAACAACACGTTGAGGCGCCAAACGACTTACACAATCAATGAACTACTCTCTCCATCTGAGCCCCAGGTGGGGTACCATGTGTCCTGTGCTTGCGCAAATTCCAGCATGGCTGTTTTCGAGTTATCCAGCCATGGCTTGTTGCCTGCATTATCGGGGAACCATCCGTTAGTTCCACCAACGGCGAGGTCAAGAATGAGATAGAATGCTGTGTGTCGATCGGTAAGCTGCGCCTTCATAACTATTCATAAGAGCTTACGTTGGTCGAAAGGTGTCGCATTGGTGCCGTTGACCCAAGGATTCTGCAGGACAATGGGCTGTGTCCCATTTTGGACCACAGAGGGAAAGTCTCCACGTGTAAAGAAGGGCTCGTCGAAGGAAAGCTCAAGCATATAGTGTAAACGAGTGTCAACGTACATGCGACTGTCGGGTCGGTCAGAGGATTGCCTACATTCGGAAGTAACTTGAAACTCACAGGAAACTATCTGTCCACTCCAGTGTATAGGTGTGGAACCCCTCCCCATAGTCGGTGCGTCTCTGTGTCCACCAGCCGAAAGTCTTGTACACGGCGTTCAAGAACGACAGGGGTCCCCAGTTGAGTGATCCGCGGACATAGTCGATACCCCTGTTAGGGAGATCAGCAATACAATCCTGGTCAGCAAATCGTGGTGTGTAAAGTGATCAGATGCCTCACTGATCTGGGTAGCTGCGAGCATTTCCGCGTGATTCCATGATGTCGATTTCACCGCTCAATGGCCATGGTCCGTAGGTGTCATTCACAGGAAGCATCCAAATTGCGGGCCAGAGCTGTAAGGCCGGTAAGTAAATAATATGGTCTTGTCCTGGGAATACAATGCTCACCCAATCACTACAGGGAGCCGAAGGTAGGTCAGTCTACACATCAGATCAAAAAGAGTAATACGTACCCCCGTGGGAGCTTGGCCCGTACCTCAACGCGGCCATATCGGATGCTAGCTTTGTTGAGTGTGGTGATCCTCGCACTTTGTACAGGGTTAATTATGGTGCCGGTGGTACTGTTGCTTACTGCACCACAAGCTTGGTAGTAGGCGGCGGCATTAAAGCCGGTGGTGTTTGATGAGCCCGGATTTGCACCCGGGGTGGTCGAGTTGTACGTGCAATCGGTAAGGTTGTATGTATAACCGTTGAATATAGCATCCGAGCCGATGACGTTTGATGTCAGGGTAGGGGTTATGTAAAGGTATCCGTTGGAGGTGTATGAATTGTTTGATGACGACGGTTGCCATCTCAAACTCGCCGTTCCTGGAAGAACTGTAAGCGTTTACGTTGACCCAAAGTATGAATTCGCTGACCCGAATCCGCCTAATTGGACTTCACGGACCCAATTTCCGTTAGGTCCGAAAGTAGTATCGGTGTCGGAATTAAAATCTTCATCCAAGACCATGCACAAGTTACCAGTGATCAAGGGTACGCTCTTGTAACCAAAGTAAATGCGCAAAGCAGAGGCTGCTACGCCGAGGAAAGCCACGGAGTAAGTCAAAATATAGGCAATCCTTGCATATGGGTCCTTGGTGGTGACCCAAGGTTTGTCCAAGGTGCTTGGATCATCAAGCATGGTAGAACGCATGCGGGTTGTCTTGCTTGGAGCGAGGCTGACAGCGGTGGAGACTGCTGTCAATGGACGAGCTGGGGGTGCTGCGAATGTTTCACGAAGACGAATACCGGAGGCCACGCGACTGGGGCTATCACCAGTGTTGGGGCGACCGCCATAGTATGATGTGTTGCGAGGAAGTGCAGTGAGGCCGAGACGAGGTATAGGTTCTAGACTGTCTTGTTGACCTGTTGGGACAATGGGGATTACGGGATCTACGCTAAAGCTGACGATACTAGCAGGGTGGAGAGAACGGGTTTACGATGGAACTTGCAGCAGTTCCTGCAGTGGATGGACGAGAGTTGTTGGAAACGGAAGGAGTGGATTGGTTATGCTTGCCCTTTGTGCGTTTAGAATTTTCGCCAAGGTAGAATGGGGCTGGTGGGTTGACGGCATCGTTGTCTGACATGATGCTAGCAAATGGTTTGGATGGGGAACTATTTTGTGGAATTCATTGGCACTTTAAAGGATGCAAATGATGTCTGAGTTGACAGGGAGTATTCCCATATCTGTTTATGTTGGACAATCATTATGCGAAAGGTACCTTTGCTTGTGGAGATTAAACGGTAGCCAATCGGAGATTCGGAGATAATAAAATTGACAGTAGGCATTGCCTTTGAGTATTTTATCCTAGTTGTTGGTAGGGGTTCGAAGTCAGGTTGATTCATGTCAAGGATATGACGTAAGGAACATTACTCGGATCCCAAGCTTTTAGAATTGAGCAGCCCTGCAGCAGGGTGATAGAAGACAATATTGATGAACTGACGCACGTGTTACGTTCCATCTAGGGGAATCATGTAACCGACGTCTGCTGATCCTGCTAAACCGGCATCTGTGAGATGCCGAATCCATGTAAGCTTGACTCTGAGTAGCACCGATAAACGAATTGCGCAATCGTATTTCTGACCACCTAGTGCGGGGATTGCGGCTTGCACGCAATCCAATACTTACTTCTACTTCGCCGCCAGCAAATCAAGGAAGCCACGCGTCATGAGCAAGTACCAAAACCTTGCTTATCGCAGAGCACACATACCAGAATGGCAAGGTTGATCAATGATCTAATGACTTCCAGATCAACTTCCTTCTCGTCCGCAGTCGACAGCGAGCGATAACACCAACTTGAAGCAACTGTCACAGCATTTTGAGTAAAACACGTTCCGGATGATAGGATCATCACCGTCTTTCCCTGCGATGCACGGACAGGTTCATTCAGGGCCAGGAGAGCTTGCAGGTTGGAAATATTTCTTATTGGTCCCTTAAGGGTTTATTCGGTAGGTACCACAAGGATGAGGTCCGGTGAGTATTTTTTGACCGTCGTACTATTTTCAAGACCTGGCCAGAATCATTTAACCATGCTGGCAGCATAAGTCCTTTCGGTGCATCTCAGAAGGGCAGCAGTGAGCGTCAGTGTGAAGATGAGCTGTAAATACTTGCACCGATCTGCCAAGATTACCCTTGGGCAGATCATTGCAAGTGAGCAACAATTCAACTTGGTAGTACCTCGGTCCCCGAGTAATCTTACGTATGCATGCATGGCGAGGCACATGCAATAATCGCATATGGAGGATAACGTTCTATGGTGTTTTGGTACGTCCACGTCAATTTATCTTTTTTCCCCTACAGACAGGCTATCTCACGTCTTGCCAACTGGGTTTATATTTGCTTTCCGTCTCGAGGACTCTTATTACTATTACCGATCGCGGAGCTCAATCCATCTTATGTAATACAATTATCAACTACTACTACTACTACTACTACCACACTAGTTATTGGCATGGATACTTACGAGCAAGGGTTTACAACGTTTACAATGTTCGTCACTGTCATGTCCAGGCAGTGAAATCTAGGACTTCATCCTTGGCCATACCGACATCTTTAAGCGCGCAGGGGTGGGCTTTTCCAGGTCGTCGCCCGTGTATTGATCGCTCCCACATCCAAGTCACAGGATATTCGTTGACCAAAAATATTTCCCAGGTACCCGTCCACAAAGTGCCTACACTGTCGAGTAGACCGTTCCAGATATCGGGTACTTTCCAAGTCCGTTCATTTGTTCTAGTCCTTGCCCTCCGAGTTGCGATTAAATTTACATGCGTATCCAAAGAAGATACCACCCCGATGAGGCACCATAGTTCCTTTACAGCATGATGCACGTCCAGGGTTTTGCATGGCATATCCCTGTTATCATCCGTTGATGATTATCGCCCTTGCTTCAATTGGCACTGCCAGCAAGTTCCAAATCGGGCCTCACACACCTCAGCACTCTTATACCTCTACAAACCTTGCATAAATCCCCAGCCCAAAATCCTCCCATATTCAAGTTTTTCCTCCGAGCTAGCGATCTCCTCCCCGACGCTACTTGTTATTCTTTTCCCACTTTTCACCTCGGGCTTCAACTATGGCTATGGACTATGACGCGTATGATGCACTCCTGCATCATATATTTAAGCAAGTACGTATAGATTTTTTATATTGTATTCTGCTCATAAATTCTTCGCGCCGACAGACTCAGGGTGATGCTTGGTTCAAACCAACCGAAGAGAATCTTTCTGCCGGGGTCTGTCTCCGTGTCGAACCCGGTCACTTTCGTGTATTTCCCTACGAGAACAACCACCTTGCGCCCTTTGCGGCAGCCGTGCGCCTCTTGAATCCCGTAGTCGCGGTCAAGGTCAGGAGTGCTGCAGTTCATGCTGCATTAGCAAGTGTGTACGTTGTTTCTCGTCACTGTCCATTATCCGGTGACTTTCTAACGGTCCGTATTTCGTAATATTAATAGCCCCGAAGATGCATCTGCTATCTATGTCGATCACAACACACGCATTCAGATAGTAGCTTCCATGGCCATGGTGCCACGGGCCGAGAAGGAACAATGCGGAGCCTTCGTGGCAAGTTCTACTTCTCACTGCCTCGTCATGCTCATCTGACGATCCCTCAGCGAGATGAGGCTGTGCTCATTCTCTGGTCTGACAGCTTAGACGACATCATACCCTTATGCCGTGACTTTGAGGAGAAGCTCATTAAGCTTGTCTGGAGACAACGCACCAATATCTCCGCAGCTCCCTCCGACATCATACCGTCTACTGTGCCGTCCCATGATAATTTGCCAGCAACAAAGGAAGAATTGACGGAAGAGATACCTATTACTGAGAGAGAACTCACAAACAGAAAGCCACAACCTAAACCGTCATCATCAATTTGGAAGATCTTCAGCTGGAGCACCACTCGTCAAGAGCACCAAGGTGACGCCGAGAAAGGCGCGAAGAAAATCCGTCGAACCAAGCTTATTGCGCCATTCTACAATGGGTTGGGCTGCGGTTTATCACTCTGTAAATAACTCTTCAGTTATTACCAAACTTGGACTGACCTCTTTTAACAGTTTTCATCGGTACTGGTATCAGTATGCTCCTGCAGGAGTCCATGCTTGATGGCCAGTGGATTCGGTTTTGTTTACTCGTCACAGCCCCGCTGTCATTCTGCGTTTCTCTGGTACGTCGTGGAGACCCATGCCGTTTCTTGACTGAAATTAACATGTAATTTCAGTTCTTCTCTCTGCAAATTGTCGGCAATGTCGGCATGATGTAAGCGCTCATTTGGACTCATCTTGATTATATTGACTGTCATTCATTTGTCCAGTATCGGTCCCGTCTCCCAGTACTATGAAAACTCCCGTTATTATTCCGCTATCAAACCCGAGGAGGATAAGGATATCGATTCGGCTCTCCCTCATGTTACTATCGAGCTTCCCGTCTACAAAGAGAGTCTTGAGCAAACAATGTAAGGTCGCAGTCGATTTTTTTGGCTTGTATTGACGGCATCTTTGTTTTCATTAGCACGCCGTCCGTGTATTCACTCAAAAAGGCTATGCAAACATATGCACGCCAGGGTGGAACATCTTCTATATTCGTTCATGACGACGGTCTACAGCTCATTTCGGAGAAGGAACGCGCGGAACGCATTGCTTTCTACGCCGATCACAACATAGGCTGGGTCGCACGCCCTCCTCATGAATCCTCTCCAGATGGATTCAAACGTGCCGGCCGGTTTAAGAAGGCGTCGAATATGAACTACGGGCTCGCGCTTAGCTTGAAACTCGAGAAACATCTGAAGGCACTCCTTGAAGCAGAACAGCTAGAGGAGCTAGAGGACGACGGTCAACCTCTGGAGGATCGCGCTTTGAATATGGCCTGCGAAGAACTCTTCATTGAAAGTGGAGAGAAGTGGAAACCGTGGGCTTGCAATGGTAAATCCATTAGAATGGGAGAGATCATTTTGCTTGTCGATTCTGATACCATCGTGCCCGAGGTGAGCGAAATATCGCCTCCTTTGATCACGAAACTGACGCTGGTCTAGGATTGTTTACGTGATGCTGCTCGTGAACTTGCAGAGAGCCCCGAGGTTGCGATCATTCAACATGAATCAGGTCAGTCAACATTCGTACCCCTGTCTTAGCATAACTCAATTTCGCACTCAAGATGTCATGCAAGTCGCGAACCACTACTTTGAGAATGGTATTGCCCACTTCACTAGGCGAATCAACAAGTGTATATCCCTCGGTTGTGCGAATGGCGAAATAGCTCCTTTCGTGGGACACAACGCTTTCCTTCGTTGGTCGGCACTCCAGGACGCCGCGTTTGTAGACCCGGCTGATGGGGAGACGAAGATTTGGTCTGAATCAAATGTGTCCGAAGATTTCGACATGGCTTACGACTTCAGGTACGTTCTTGCATTGTTGTACCTGGCGTTTATCTGACTGATGTTCCCACGTGTGCAGCTAAAGAAGTATGTCATACGGTGGGCGACATACTCCGAGGGGGGCTTCAAGGAAGGTGTATCGTTGACGGTCGATGATGAATTGAATCGATGGCAGAAATATTCCTACGGTATGGATGAGCGGTTGTGTCAACAAAATTTGTGCTGATGGCTAGCGTTTGGTAAAGGTTGTAGCGAGTTGATTTTCAACCCCCTTGTTGAATGGTGGAGGAAAGGTCCTATCAACAAACAGCTGCGTATCTTTGTGTGGTCCAATGCACCGGTCCATTACAAAATCAGTATGATGGCATGTGAGTAAGATCGACGAGAAGGTCACGACCAATTATGCTGACTTTTGTTTTCGAAAGACATGTTTTCCTATTGTAGGACAAGAATTTCTGTTGTACTTGTGCGATGCTCACGGATTTCATAGATGGTATCGCAGCCTCTGCAGCTTTGTCGACCCTCAACTATATCCTTCTTGGACTGGCAATCGAAACGGACGGCTACTATCTTCACAGCTTTGAAGTCTTTCTCGCAATTCTCGCCGTGTTCCCCGGCTCGGGTAACGTTGGCTACACTCTTCTTGAATACAGACTTGGGCATCGTAGCATGTGGGACTCGCTTGTTGAAACTTGCACATGGGTTCCTTTCTTGTACGTC